GTTAGTTGAGAGGGAGGTGATGACAGAAAGGGTGGTCGAGGGAGATAAGGAACATTAGTTGCAGGTGTCAGACCAGCCGCCACAGAGAGAGCTGTAGTGTCTCCCACCAGCCTTCCTCTTACGTGTTTCCCCAGGAAATAAGACCAACCAGAACCCTGAAGGAGCTTTCCTGAAGATGTATTTTATGAAGCAAGTGATTCTAAGAAGCACAGGGGTCGGACTGTAGTGGATGCTGGGATGTTCCACCCAGGTGGCTGTGCTGCAGCCCTGAGGCACTCATCTCATTCTCGCAGGTGACAGAAGTGTTGGAGGCTGATGGCTTTCAAAGGAGTCACCTTTCCATACACTGCCCTAAGCCTAAAAGAGTCACCCCGGCCAAGGACAGCTCACATTCCAGGAAGTAGTCAAGGCAGGGCAACTCTGAGGGGTTATTCCAGCTCCTACGGGACAGGCTGAGGCCTCTGTTGTGCAGGGCAGTTCAACTCCTCCCTCTGCACAGTCCCAGTGCCTTCACTAGCAAAGGCATTTCTGAAGAAAGAGCGGTAAGAACCAGAGTGACCAGAGCATCACATTGGCTCTAACTACTAGAACACTGGCCATCAAAGACCAGGGCAGCAGTGCCAGTAGCAGGCGAAAACTGAGTGACTTAAGCACCTGGGCACTGCAGCAAAGAGCACAGCTTCTGAGCTCTCCGCCACTGTATCCGCTTTTTAAAACCACTTTGAAGCATGAATGGCATACAAAAAAGCTGTACATGTTTAATATGTACAACTTGATGAGCTTGGAGACAAGTGTCCACCTGTGAAACCATCACCACAATCTATGCTATAAACATATCCATTACCTACAAAAGCTTCCTCCTGCCCTCCTTGGCTATTATCTTTTGTGATAAGAACACTTAACACCTACCCTCTCAGCAAACTTTCAAGTATACAACACAGCACTGTTAACTACAGCCACTATGCTGTCCAGCAGATCTGAAGGACTCATTCACGTTGCATCACTGAAACTTTGTACACTCTGACTACCCTCCGTTACCCCTTCCCCCAATGAATCTGGAGGACATTACGCTCGGCGAAATAAACCAAAGAAGGACAAATACTACATCCTGGATGATACCACTTGTATGAAGAATCTGAAACAGTCAAATGCATGGAAGCAGGGAATAGGATGGTGGCTGCCTTCATCTCCTTTCTTGACACTCAGCCAAGGGCAGAAAGAAAAGTCAGGCTTCCCAGCGCTATGTTGGCTGACCTCCAGGGCCCACACATTTCTAGATTATTAAAGGATGGTGCTTCAGGTTGATAATGGAACATCCCCAAAAGCTCCAGGTCACTTCCTATTATTTTTGGACTTTCTAATCTCTCTCACTAGTCATCCATATCTCAATCATGCCGCCATGGAATGCCTCAAATCATTTTGTCATGTTTACAATACAGAAATGCTATGAAGGATATTTTCCTTAGATGGGTGTATTTTAGTTATAGCACAAGTTCATTTTAAATTAATTTTAATAATATTCATTACAATAAAGAGTAGTTTTGACATTTTCCCATTTAATTAATGCTACATGCTATTTAATTTAATCTAATTATATACGAAAGTACATTTACTTTATGGCTAAATGAATCATAATAATGCGGCATATTTGGTGAGGAAACTGGAAGGTATCAAAAACGTAACCAAAAGTTAGACTATGTGTTCCTGTATCAAAAACTGCTTTCAAGATTTGATGTTTGAAATGTAAAACTTTTACGTTTTAAAAAATTAGCTTGTTTACTTTTATAACCTTTATATATGTTTCTAAATGAAGCAATAAAAGATAAAATTTCAAATTGTGATTGACAAGTAAATTTCCACAATTACCATAATGCTGGGTTTGGATGGTTCCTTTAAAAATGAAAGGTAAAATTAGTGATAATCATGACTATATTTTTTCTTTGCATATTGAATTTTTAAGGTGCTACGAGGGATAACTCAATGCTGAATAAGTGTTGATTGAATGAATGTAATGTGCAGACCTAGTGAAGATCAGGAAAGATGTATGTTTGCTGAATAAGTGTGCAGCTTGCTTTTAACCACTGACTGAATATGGATGCCAGATCAATCCCACAGCCCCTGCAGATCCATTCTCCCTCCTTCTCCACCCCTTGTCCTGCTGTCAAAAGTGAACTTTTACAGACTGCCTCAACGCCCTTGTGCTCTGGTTTCTATTGGGGTTGGCCACTTGGGAGTGAAGGTGAGTGAAGATGGATATTCATTCCCCTAGTGGTAGACCATGTTGGGCTGGCTAAGTCTCATGACTAAAGCTCACAGCTCCTGTGAATGGGTCCTCTCCAGGACATCCTTTACAATTGGCTTGACCACGGCTCCCAGCTGTTACAAGCCTCCGAGGTTTTCACTATCCCTTATAGTTTCTTTTCTGCTCACAGATTTTAAATACTCTCTTTATTAAATGCTCATCAAATTACATAATTTCAGTGTGAGATTTCTTTCCTGCCTGGACCCTAACTCAGACATAAGACAGGACTATGAATGAAAACAATGTTGAACTACGAGACGGTGATAAGCATGGCTGCCTGTAGTCAGAGAATGTCAAAGCAATTGAACAAATGAATCATGAGATGTCTCATCTGATAGTCATTAAATGCCACACACACTCAGCCAAACACATACTCAAGGCTTGAGAGAAAATCAGTCCAAATATTTACATAATTATAGATTTTAAAAGTAGAAAGTGAAATCACAAACACTCTTAACCATAAATACTCCCTAACAACCCCCAAGTTTTTCAAACCACTCTTTTTTTAAAAAGAAGTTTTTCTAAGTGAAGTATTTCTTTCCCCATCCCAATGGATAAATTATGGCACAATGTGTATAGAAGTGTGTATGTGCATACGGGGAATGGTGTAGGAACCTCTGGGTATGTAAGAATGTACAGCTGTACTGATGAAAACAATGCACAGCACCAACGCTGGAAATGAATCTTCCATCACTTGATCTGCAGGTGGAAAAAGAGCCACTAGCTTTCCTCTCATCCAGGGTAGAAGCCAAGATCCAAAGAAAGGTTATTCATTATCCAGCAAGAAGACACAGGCTTAAAAGCATCCCATACCACTACTGCTTAAGTCTCTGAGAATTCATAAACAGCTGGATAAAAAACACAGGAGATGAATCTAACAGTACAATAGTATGGGAACCCTCGGTGGAGAGCTGGGATCACGGACCTCCCCACCATCACTGACGGGCAGAGAGCTGTGAGTGCTGCAAGATGGAGCCCTGGGGACACTGGGCAGGAAGAGAGACACGGTCACAGCAGCTCAGAGTGCAGGGTGTCCAGCTCTTCCCCTTCGGGTGACCATGCCAACAGAAGACATGGCCAGAAGAGGCAGTTGTAATATGACCCTAGGGAATACTTGTCACAAGATATAAAACGGTTATCGATTTTCTTTTAATAAAATCCCTCAACATCTATTATGGCTTGAAAGCTGCTGAGGTGGGGCCAGCTACTAGGCTGTCCAGGGAAGGCATTTTTTTCAAAGTGAAGAAGCTGCTTAACCGGACCCTCCCTACTGTCCACCTGACCTCAGCACCGGCCGTGCCTGTCTACCCGTTTCTTCCCTCTTATGCACACACATGCACACATTCTTATGGGACAGTTGTAGAGTCTCCAATCCACCCACTAGAGAAAATCCATCAGCCCCTGGGCAACACCAGAAAGGGAAGGAGCAGATGGACCCAATGAAGGAAGGTAATGTGAGAGCAGAGGGCTGACCTTTTCCCAGCCATGTTACAAGGCTGGTAAGACTCTTTCAACTCCCCCTCCCTCCCTCCTCCTGCTCTTCTTTTTGCCTACTCCCTCTTTTAACCTACTTCGTCTGTCCTCTTTACAAGCTAGAAAGGAACCAGCAGAGTCACTGTGTTGAACTGGAGGAGGTAATACCAGTTACAACGGAGGGCCATACCTTTGAGGCTAAAGTGTGTAGCCTTCCAAAGAAGAGCTTGGTAACCAATGGCTACAGCATTACTTTCTTTCCAGCACTGGGCAAACAGCAAAGTTAATCAAACTTTTTCCAAGTCTCACTCACCCTCAACACTGCTCAGGGGGCCAGAGCTTCCTGGCGTCCCTCTACGGTCAAACGAGCCATAGTGGTCAGCTCACGCCAGTGCTGGACCCAGAGGAGTCACACGAATAAATAAACAAATTAGAAATTAATCGATGAGGAATGCATTCTCCCAAACTGTCTTGCTCACTACCAAATCAAAACTTTCCTTTATTGAGATCAATTTATGTCGATGTCATTTAAAAAAAAAATCTTTGTAGTATGATTCACCACCCAGTTCACTTCCCCAAAGGATCCTTTCATTCCTAAAAGTAGACCTTTGTACATTGAAAAAAGCCATAACACAAACCTGTTAGGGTCACTAACGTGGAATCGGCAGAGCTAGCAGCTCTCAGACCCTGACTTCACTCTTCAGCAGCCCTGCACCCTGAGGGGCCTGCAGGCAGTCATACTAAGAGGGACAGTAGGCATAAACGACCAGATGAGAAGGGCATCTCTTTCCAGGAAGTGGATAGTCTCCTAAGAGAGCAACACACTTCTTGCTTCCAAGCTGTCATTCTACACAGTTCTGCTCAGACACAACATATCAACCCAAGAAGTGCTACTTGACAACCTACTGACTTTCTGTCGATGCTCAAAGAAGGAAGGTGGGCCATCAGACTTCAGGAGGGGCTTTTAACAGAGTAGGAAGTATCCCTCTTTAACTATCCACAGTGAAATTCATTCACCGTAGAAGCCCATCCATCTCTCTTACAACGTGCTAATTCTTTGTATGAAGACCACTGCCCCTTGTAGTGAGTTCTAGAACAAACAAAATACCTCTAAAGGAAAGGAGGCCTGGAGAAATAAGGATTCAGGGGACAGAAACCATCTACCTCGGGAGCTGGCGAGGGCCAGAGGAGCTCCTGCGTGGGCCGTGGGGTGCGGGCCCCTTACCTTACCACACTGCTTACACTTTCCCTCCTGCCGGCGCCTGTGCACCCAGTGATGACGCACAAAATTCTGTGGGAAAACAAAATGAAATGAATAGGTTTCAATTTGCAAACCCCAATATTAGTTTTTTTTTAAATGTTTTAAGAATAGAGATTTCTGTAAATCATCATCTAAGCCCATCTTAGCACAAAACCAAGTATGTATGTGTGTGTGATTTGTCTTACAATAAACACGAATCTACTCGGAAAAAAAAGAAAAAGAAGCTAAGTCTCCATCCTCAGTGACCTTTTGTATTTGTAGAAACCATTAATCACGGCCTCCTTCCGCAGCTTCCTCGTAGCAAATGGCCACACTACTTTCGTTCTAGTAAGCCGCTGTGCAGATTTGTGACCTTGGGCTGGGAGGTAACTGAGGCAGGTAAAAGAAATACCCTTGAAAGAGTGAAAAAGTGAAGGAGAGGAGGACAAAGACGTCCATATTTTAAAACAAATATGTATTTAACGTTTTATAAATGCCAGGCAGGCACTGTGCTAAAAACATCGGAGCTAGAAAGAACTCAAAAGAAATTAAATCCTCAGAAAGACATAGATCTCCTAAGTCAGGACTTACATGGTGAGAATTTTTCGCTAGCTAAATAGAAGGAAGAGAAAAACTGAAGGAAAGTGATGACAAAGATGAGACGTGGGCATATCGTGAAGTCTTGAACTGATGCATTTCAACTGCCCTTGAGTACCCTCGATGAGATCAGCTCCCAAGGTCTATCCCTGACTTAAGCTGTAGGAGACATGGAAAGTACTTTTCCTCCCAAACAGACAATCGCTCCTGGGGCAGAGAGTCAAGGAGCACCCATCACCACGGCTGCTGGGGTACTTTATAAGAGAGAAAGCTGTCTTCGGGACTGATGGTGCAGGTAAACCCTAGTGACTTTCACACACCTCATCCCTCTCAGGCCAATAATCTAAAATACTTGCTAATGTTTTTCTCCTGCCCTTTTCTGAGAACACAGACTTTACCTGAAATTAACATGTCTATTGTCAGGTCACAACCCACACTTTCCCTTTAAAGGGCCCTTTAATATATATTCAGTCTTCCAACAAACACTTAACCGAATGCCTACTGCCCAGGCATTGTTCTAAGTACAGGGGGGACACAGAAAGCAGATCAGTGTCGAGGGGGAAAAAATGTTCTATCAAGGCATGAAATTCAGAGCGACAAAGATACCGTTAATGAGCCTTAGTGTTGTCAATTCCAAAATGCCACCTCTATTTCTCTTCATAATGTCAAACCAATTTAAATTAAAACTAAACAAAGATCCTGAAGGAATAATGGTCTTTTAACTATAATAAGATATAAAGACGTGTAATGGTCCCGCTAATTAGTCTACTTTTGTCTTGCTTTTCCCACGGTGGCAGTTTAATAAAACAAGGACACAATTCTTGTATTGTTCTCAGAAAGAAGCTAATAATAATAGTTAATGTTTCCTGACTACTAACTCTGTGTCAGGCACTTTTAAAAATGCATTATATGTAATGATTTGAATTTTCATGAGAATTTTCAAGAGTATAGGTGCTGTTTAGCTGGTGTATACCAGTAAAATCCTAAGTTGTTAAAATACTGAAATATTTCTATATTGGTTGATAAATTGCAGTTTAGTGTCCCATCATCTTCCCGGCTCCTCCCTGCTGCCAAAGCACCCCTCACTCCCCTCAACGTTGGAGATCATTTCTACCTCCTCGTTATTAAGCAACTAGAATGTTAATTTTTGGTAGAACAGGTCTCCAAGATTCTGGAGCTCTCTTCTGAAAATCAATCATACTGGCCCAGGCAACGCCACTGGGTTCCCCCTACAAACTCAGAGGCCTGGGCCACGTCCATTGATGGTTCTGGCCAAGCTTAAATATCAATATAAACAATTTCGGGTCCTATGGCTGGCTGTGGCTTTTGGGACAATGACAGCAAGTCCAGGGACCTTCTTAGTTATCAGTGTCTATACCATCAGGTCCATGCAAAAACTCTACTGGGGATGAAGGTACTGGACCCCTCACCTCTCTGCTTCTGAGGTAGACCTCTCCAGCTTTCCACCTACTCAGGTAAGAAGCCCACTGTCTGTTTCAGAATAAGGGCTGGGGAGGACTGGGTCCAACTGCCAACTGTACTGTACGCCGATTCACATCATCACAGGGCAACGATATCAGAGGGTTTGACTTGAATTATCATTATTGTCCTCACTGTACAGAGGACAAACTAAGGTACAGAGCAGTCACTTCAAATGTAAGGGGCTGCAAACCCAGGCAAGGATTCAAACCCAGGCAGGCTGGCAGCAAAGCCTGCCTCTTGACCACGGTGTTGCCACAGTGCCTCTCCTCTGCCCTGAAAGGTCAGGTTCAAGCTCCTTCAATAAATGCTTTCAGTGACAGTTAGTACTGGAAACACTGAACATATAAAAATGTCAGGCAGTATTAGAAGAGATAGGAAAATTTACTGTAATTGCTGTTACTTTAGCAGAAGCAGAGAATGAGCAATATCACTGATGCCAAGAGAAATTCTCTACTTATTGAGATTATAAATCACCTAATGACTATCAGTTTAAGAATTTGAGGAGGGAAATGGAAGAATTTGATGCAATTACCTATGAGAAATCATGGCTCACTCATGGGATTATTTAGCTAGTGACAGCTCTAATCAAAAGATTAAACCAACAATTTCTACAAATCAACAATTATCCTGAATTAGAAGACTGACTTAATGAATCATTTGCACTGCAACATATTTTGTTTGATAAGCAGATTTATAATACTATGCAGTTTAGTTTATTTAGGGAATACAAGAGAACATTTTAAAACTGTTTCTTTAAATATTTATGACTCTGCAAGTTGCTAAATACTTTTAATATCATCCTTTCTCAAAAATAGGTAGGAAATTAAGGCATAGACAAACCAAGTAACTTAAACAAAAGCTCTACTACAGAAACTGAGTAACTGTCTCCAGTCTACAGCTCTGTGATTTGAGATGTCACGCATGCATCTATGCAGAGGGCTGCTTAGGCCTGATATAAATTACTTCTACTGCTGCTTAAACATAGTTGGAACAAAGTAAAATTAGATAAATGTGTATTGAATTGAATGAGATTCTAAACCTAGTTTCTTTGACAATTAAATCACGTAGTTACCATTTTGAAGGATCGTCAACTGTCTTTATCAGTTAGAAAAAAAATTTCTATAGACTCACTGCTGTTTCATAATCCTTATTTCCCAAGCACTTTAATTTTTCATGCTATTTCCTTTTGACTATTATTCATATCTTTGAAATTACTGAACTTAGACTCAGGATCCTTACAATGTGAATATGAGTGTCGATATATTGCTGTTAAGACAGCAAAGTAAGCCTTCTAAAACCATAGCATCTTTTTTTGTTCATCAATAATCTGAATTATTCATATACCATCTTCAAATACTGGGTAAGGAAAGGGCTATTACTTATGGTTGTTAAAATCTCGGTGATCCATTATTTCAGGGTTTATATTCAGTACTGTTAGCAGAAATGCATACACAATGGCTCAATTTTATTTTCAAAGCAGTCAGTTCAATTCATAATATTATTCATAAAGCTTTTGAATGGACCTTAGAAATTATAGACCAATCCATGCATCTTATGGCTAAGAAAACGGAGGTCCACCCAGAAAGTTTCAGCTTAGAGGAGCCCACCCAGTATTCATTAAAAACCTCCATGTATCGGACACCCCACAAAGTCTACGGAGCAGTAATGAACCGCCGTGCTCCAGATCCCAGCCCTAGAGGCATCACTGAGGGGAAGAGAGGCAGGGGGGTCACTTGAACCCAGGTCAAACTAATTCTAAAGTGATTGTTTCTTTCATTTACATTAAACTACCTAAAGTCTCTTCATTAAGAATCTCTCAATGGGTCATACTCTGTCATAAGTGTCATCTTCAAACTGTCCTTTTAGACCAGGAGTTCTTAGACGTTTGGGGAGAAATTAACTCCTTTATAAATTCATTCAGTCAAGAGATATTCATTGATCACATCCTCCCTCTGTGTCCTGCCTGGAACAATGAGTTGGGAAAAACCCACGCGTGACCTCCCAAAGCTTACGGTATAGGAGACAGCATTAAGCAAGTGAGTAGCACACAATACAACACACAAGATGCTTTGATAAAGAACAAGGTGCAACCTATTTAGAGGTGGTCATCAAGAAAGACCTCTGAGGGGTGATACTTGAGCTGAAGTCTCACTGCAAGAAACTACTAGCCATGCAAAGAGATCTCCAGTAGAGCAGTGAAATACACAAAGACCTGAAGGTGAGGAATGTGGACGCGGACCTCAGGAACTGAGAGAAGATCCGTGTGGCAGCTGGATGGGTTGGGAGAAGTAGGCTGGGGCCAGCCTCTGCAGAACTTTGGCCTTTTTGTGCCAAGAGAAGGGATTTGGTTCCCCCTAAATGACTTGGAAACCACTGAAAAGTTCTAAGCTGGAAAATGATCTAATTCCATTTTCATTAAAAAAAAAATCACTCTCTTAAATCATGGTGGACTGAAGGGGAAAATTAAACAATCTTAGACAGATATTGCAGTGGTCAAAAGTGAGATAGATCATGGGTCCTTAGTCTAAGGTACTGACAAAAGAAATGGAGATAAATGAATGGTTTGAAACATATTTTATAAATAAAATTGATAGGGCTGGCAAATGAATTCAACATGGTGAGGACCTGGGAGAAGTAATCACTATGATCCCCCAGTTTCTCAACTGGGCCAACAGCCCTCTCCTTTTCTGAGGTACAAAAGAATTGAAAAATACAGTTTCATGGTGATGGAAACAAACAGTTTCTAGTGCATTACATTTGAGATGACTGTGATACTTTCACTGGGCATATCAACTCCAGGAAGTGTGGGCTGGAAACTTGAAGTTAGGTGTTACCAGCCCAGATACGTGACTAAAAGCCAACAGTCGTGGCATAATACTGAAAGCTCTCCCAACAACAGTGGACAGAACGTGGCCAAGTACCAAGCCCAGTGAACACGCAGAAATCAGGGAGTGAGAAGGAAAGGACCGTCCAGTGAAATCAGAGGAACATTAGGAAAGATGTCCAGACAGGTGAGCACTTCAAGACGGATGAAGTACTGACTATATTGAGTACATGTGAAAGACTGGATAAGAGAACAGAAAAATATCTAATGGATTTGGCATCAGGGAGGTTTCAGCAACATAAAAAAAGCAATTTCAGTGAATGGATAGAGCAAAACCCAGATCAGAACAGGTTAAAATGCCTAGGAGGGGACACACTGAAAACAAATTTATATAGTTAACAGTTTCTGGAAGTTTAGCACTGAACACAAAACCAAGAATTAGAGCTGCAGTTAGGACAGTTGGTGGTTAAGGAATAGTTTTGTTTGTTTGTTTTTTTGAGATGGGAGCTATTAGAGGATGTTTATGCTGATGGACATACTCTAGAGGGAGGGTGGGGAGTTGAAAATGTAGGAATGGAAGAAACATCAAGTCCCTGCTATGAAGACAAGGGAAGGCACTGAAAACACTTATGGAAGGTCTGGCTTCCTAGAAGAGAAATAACACCAATTACTGAAAACAAATGAACAAAAAAATCCTTGCATTAGAAAATTGCACATACTATTACAACGATCTATCCAGAGAGAAGAGAAATTACAGGACAGGAAGCCAAAGGCAGACATATGGATCCTCTGGTAAGAAATTCATAAAATCCATCTTAAAAACACAAAACGATTTCTTCTATTGTCCTAAATAACATTTCTCCTCCATCTGAGCTAGCACTGAGTTATCCCCTGGCGTTGCTACGGTGCACTCGGGTGGCATCGAGGGTAACCACAACCCTGTCATTTTTCTTAGACTTCCCCCACCCCACGTAGGACCCATAACCTTCCTCTTGCTGACGTAACAGACAAGCACAGTGGGAGAGGACAACTGACAGGGACAACTGTTTTTATCTCTTTCACAACCTTCCCTCTCAACCTATTCTCACTCCATGTTTCCTCCCAGTCTCCTTGTATCCATCAGTAACAATGAAATCATTCTTCCTCGGTGTCTTTTTCATTAACTGCCATTAACATCTCTCTGTACTCAGACATGTCCTATGCCTACTCTACCCAGTCATCTGCTCTCATAGCTTTATTTACTACCTCGACATGCTGACAAGTCATCAAGGTCTAACCTCCAGCCCAATCTTCTATGCTCTGTACTCACACACCTACTCCGCTTTCTTTTGGGCATCTCAACTGCGGGCCCCAAGGACACCTCGAACTTGAGAGTGTTACAGCTGAACTCATTACATCCCTACCCCATCCTCCAAGCAACTCATTTGCCAACATCTAACTAGATTTTCAGAGCAGAACCCTGGTTTATTCTGAGCTTCCCTGTCTTTATGTCCAAAATCCAGTCAATTACTACATCCTGTCAATCTTGTTTCCTTCAAATTCACATTTACCAATTTTCTCCATCCCAATACTATTCTTAGTTCAGGTCACCATTATCTCTTGCCTCAATTATGAGAATAGCTCCCTTAGTTTTCTCCATGCCTCCAATATTGCTACTCTTGTATTATGTGGTACTTCCGCCACACTGAGACCAGAATATTTTCTGCTTAAAATAGTTTAATGCCCCCTCTAATTACTAGGATGACGAGACTCTCAACTTGCAACCTTGCTTTCAAGGCCCTTCAAGGTCCAGCCCATTTACCTCTTGGATCTGAGGTCTACTCGCATGTCCTTTCTCCCTTCTGCACTTGTGAGCATGTGTTCCTGCTGCCCAGAGGCTCTCACTCACCTCCAAACCTCCCTCTTTCCGCACCTTCACTTAGATCATTCCCTTGGGTCTCAGTTTAGCTGCTACTTCTTCAAGGCAGAATTAAAATGGGCCAAAAGCCAAAAAATGCTATTTCTTTCTTACCTCTTCAATTCTACCACCACCTCCTCCCCCTGCTTTCTGGTTCATTCAATAATACCTTAGGTCTTAAACATATTCCATGAGAAGAACAAAGGGCAGTACCCACATATGGAAGAGACTTGGGGATTTTATTGACTGTATCAGATGATGTATTGGTAAGAAACTATGGGGGAGGGTGTAGCTCAAGCAGTAGAGTGCATGCTTAGCATGTATGAGGTCCTGGGTTCAATCCCCAGTATCTCCTCTAAAAATAAAAAAACAAGTAAACCTAATTACTTTCCCCAACCAAAAAATTTAAAAAGATAAACTGATGTAGGATGGAGGAAGATAGACTTTACTTTTTTAATCCCTGGTGAATATCTATGAATCCAATGAATCAATGGGAAATAAAAGACAGTGTTTGAAACAGAACTCTAAAATACTTACTTCTCTTGGCGATCTTGAGCCCCCTTCTCGAAATGTTGGTTTACATCTGAAATTAATCTGTCATTTAAAAAGAAAAGTATATTATATTAGGGATAAGCACCTGACCAGAGTGAGTTATCTACTGAAAACAATCAACAGTGACAGATATTGAACTCCAGGAAAAAAAAAAAAAAAAAAAAAAAACAACCCAAAGAATGAGGAACAAAGTTTAACACTATTCTTAGTGTTTTGGAATCATCATCTTAGATAATCTACAGAGATCCCAAGTGATCTTGGAATCTCCAATCTGTGTCTCTTCACTCTCATTGATGAAATCAAAGTATCTTCAGACAGTAAGGCTCTGACATCATAAATTTAAGAAACTGAGATAATAAAGAGGCAGAGGAAAATATATGGCAGCTGAAATCATACAGCTGTGTTTTAGATTTTAAAACCAAGAAAATATAAACGTAAGAAATTTTAATATGATCAAGATGATTCACCAACACACACACAACTATTCTTAAGTATCAGCACTCCATTTCTTTTAGATGGGGAGGTCTCCCAGCACATTCACATCTTCTTTAGGTACTTGATAAGGTGAGAGAAGTGTAGGAATAAAGTAGGAAATGAGTAAATGGGGTCAGGACAGCAAAATAAATACATACATACATACATACATACATACATACACACACACACACACACACACACACACACACATATACACACACACATATATATATAATATTACTAGTCATTCCCACAAAATATGAATTGGCAATAATTGATGATTCACTAAAACTAAATGACTATCACAGGGGGCTGAAATATTTAATATATTTACACATGGCAGCTCAAGATCGCAGATAATGCTCAGAGAATCCCACATGGAAATGATGGCAGAGGACTCACTACTGGAGCCTTTCCCTCTGCTGATGACAGATAAATGGACCAAGCAGAATCCACTTCTTCTGGAGGAAAGACACCCCCAGGATGCCACTCCAGCCCCACCCACACATTAACGCTGGGCCAGCAGGAACTCTGTTCACAGCAGGAAATGAGCCCTGGCTCCTGGCCTGCCTCTCTCTCCCTTGCAGCCACTTTAGGAAGAAGTAAACTCACAAAGGTCAGATATATCTAAACAATGATTTTAAAGAGCTTAAGGAATTTTTTTTCTTTAAGACAAAACATCTTGTGGAAAATCCCCTGGGTGAATAACAACACTTGTTATTGTGAAGAAAATCAGCACATACCAGGCTTTATTCCCTAACCTTCCTATTCCTTTTCCCAAGGGTCAACATGAAATGCTATCAAATTATGTACTTCAGCAAACAATAGAGTGAATGAGCCTTAAGCATTATCCTTCCATCATTCATCTGGTGATAATGCTGGACTTTCAGGCTTTGAAAAGGGCATTGTTTTCAAAAAGTTGTAAATGGAGAATGACACCTGGTCTTGAAGTCCAAACACTTGCAGGGTAGCACAAGTTGCAGCAGGTGGCGCTGTCTCACCTTTTCTAGCTGTTCGATGCACGCAGTGTGGACCACGATCTTACACACGGCACACTTCCTCCGGAGAGCTGATTTCTGTAACAGTCAACCCAATAGAGAAGAAGAAATGTTAACAATCTGTTCTGTCAAGTTCCCTGGTAGTAAAGAGAGTATCCAGTATATTAACTGAAGCAAATATAAACGAATTTAAAACTTCATCTTAAGCATTCATTAATATGACAAACTTCATCAATAGTCCTTTGACCTACCTAGGAGAGGAGCCCACATCCCCACGACTGAGGGTGGCCTAGATTTCCTCTTTAAAATGTAACTATACTATCTACTGTATGTCGAGCAGATAATATGAACCAAGCTCTTTATTCTGTTTTTCCTAAGTTTCATAACCTAACATTGTAGGCATTAACCTCCTTTTTTTCACTTTTTTTCATTTTCACTCTAATAGTTAAGGGGCAAGGCCAACATCCCAACACAGGTCTAGGTTTAAAACAAGCATTCTTTCCCGACAGCCAGACTCTACATCTCAAGGGACCACCACCTCAGGCTTTTATTCCAAGGTAATTGGGGTTTTGCCCAAATCTTCCAAAAAGCAAAAAGACCAGTCTAGCTTTTACAAATAATAATAATAATAACAACAACAACAATAAAAAACAGCAGCAGCTAACATGAATTTACTAATTGCTACGTGCCAGGATTTCCTGTAAGCACTTCACAAACTTCACTTCACTCATTTAATCCTCACCATGGTAAGAGGCAGGTACTAGTCTTACCGCCATTTTTCAGATGAGAAAACTGAGGCACAGTAGAGGAAATGCCTGAGGTCAGATATTTAGAGCACAGGCCAATTAGTCCGATACCAGGTCATGCTTGGAAGCATTACACAGTTTGGCCTCTCTGACAGTCAGTACCAGCTCAAACCCACGGTAAAAACACTTTCTGAGGTCTACCTTTTCTCCCACGATAAAAAAACAAGCAGCAGAGAGAGAAAGGAATGGGTGGAAATTTCTTGATTCAGCGTTCCCAGTGCCATGTAAAATGTGAACCAGAACTGCTCAGGTCTTTCTGTGGAGGACAGGCTAAAAGGTGGGTCTGCATGAATAATTTGGGGTTTGAGCACTGAAAGAAACTTACTACAACAAAGCCAGTCTGTGAAACAGGCTATCAAGGCATCCAAGTGTGAAAGCCCCGGGTCCCTGTCCTTAACAAAGGCGCTCATATAGAGTATCTTCTGGGGACTGGCTTCCCTCACCAAGATACAAATTTTGAGCTAAAAATTGATGTGTTGCTGTTACCAAAGGAGCCGCGAAGGACTGCCAACAAGCACTTTGAAAGGAGCAGAATCGGGAAAGAAACCATAGCCTCCTGCCTCCCTAATGTCTCTGCCCATTTAACATGGGGTCTCCCATGTGTCATCAGCCACCGACCAAGCACCCAGGACACCTCAGTACTGCAGCAACGAAACTCGTCTTGATACCTGCTAGCTAAGGTTTAGGTACTCTGCTTGCAAATGCTTTAATTACTCTGGGCTTCCCTCTGCCTGAGGAAAGAACATGGTTTGGAACCTTAAGGAATTTTGGCAAATGAATGATTTTGCAAAAATACAAATAAGGGAAACCCAAGCATCTAGCTACACTACTGAAAAATGTCTTGGCTCCACCATGAAAAAGAAAGAAGCGGGGTGGACGGGGAAGGAGGGGAAGGGGTGGGAGAAGGGGAGGGAGAACATGAACACCTGGGAGCAGGAGCAGCAGTGGCAGCATCACTCAAGGCAACAATAATAAAATTCTCATTTGCAAATTTTCATGGGTTGAGTGTCCATAAGCAAACTATTGCTGCTCTCTTACTTGTTCTGGAACGCCTAGTGGGGATCACTGCTTTAGCACCACCTGCATGAAACTCACGGGGTCCCAAGAGTTATAGTGATGTAGGGAGCTGATTTCATTCTGCTTGGCATCCACAAAACCCCTAGTAGATTACACTGCTGACAAGCAAAACGACACTTTCCCGGTAGCAACCACTGATGGGCTAGAGAAACCTCCTTCCTTACCAGTAACTCCTGCCCTGGGCTAGCTCTGTGCCTGGCCTTGTGCTCTGCCCTGATTCTGCAGAATTCCAGGGGCCCCGTGTGGGCTCCTATGAAGTCACTGGGGTGGTGGGAAGGGACAAACGTACACTCACTGAAGCCAGGAGCCCTCTTTCCTTGCCTTGTTTTCCATCTAGATTCCAAGTCAGAGTCTCTTTTGAATAAGGGATCTTGCCTGGAAGTGTTTGGGACCCAGTAGGTTAAGACACATTCTCTCTCCGCTTCCTGGGACGACAGGTAAGTACACTGATACCATTCACGTGGCATAATTCAAGTGCAATGTTCTTGATGATAATATATGAAGAAAAGGGCTTTATGTTATGAAACTGATTCTATCTAAACAATACTGAATTTTAAAAAGACCCCCATAAAATAGAATACATACTTCTGTGCCTTCTGAGGCAGAATATATAAAGTATAATCTGAATTTTTCTCCATAAACACTACAATATGATGAATTTTACTACAAAGAACAGGCGTTTTTCTTTCTATCGGGCTAGCTGTTCTTTCAATGTCACTGTGCCTGACTTTCATTGCCCTCAATTTCCTAAATGACAGCTTCTAAACAGCTTATAACTGATAAATCAGCTAATTAAGGTTTATAATCATATGCAAAATTAAGTGAACAAATTCTGAATGAAGGCCTCAGGTCCTTTTCTGTAATACATGGATTTTAGTTTCTCAATTGATGAAAGCTGTTCTAGGGAGTCAGAAATCTTAACATCTGACTTCTTAATTTATGACTATATTTCAACTCATTAAAGTTATTTGAAGTAGCTGGATAATAAGCTTCTGGGTAGAAGTTGCTCAATTCATGCTTGGTTATGGTCCAACTTTTATTTGCAAGATTTAAACTAAATACAAAGATAAAATGCAGGAGTGTGGACAGCCTAAATACTGTAAGTGTTTGCTTTTTATTTAAAATCTCTTAAGTCAATGCCTCCTTCACTATGAAAAATGATAAATCAAGAAAGGTCATTAAAATTGAGTCAGCAGGCTTTTTACTCTTCATACTGGGAAAGAGTTGTCACAGAACTTTGCACAAAAAATATAATTAAAAAAAAATACGGCCTGGGACCCAACCATGCTTAAAAATTAGTTACAAAATTTAATAATTCACTCTCATCAGTGAATTTAAAGGCCAATTAGGCTTATTGTTTCAAAGATCAGGTAACCTCAGGGCCCTTACTTCTTACTAAGGGTTCCCTGATTTTGTCAAAGGAAATCCATTAATTTGTAATTGTGTGTGTGTGTGACATCTGTGAAAACTAGTGGTGTGGGGAGCACATCAGTGAAAACTAAGACAACTTAGGCTATAATACAGCTTACGTCCCATTGTATTATGATCATAATTTACCTGTGTAACGATGACAGAATGATATGCGATGCTTTAGGATGGCGGACGTAATCTAAGTAGCGGTCCCAACACCGACTGGCAGAAAACACATTCAAAGTTCTGACTTGGCCCCACACGCTTCCTATGCTGCAGGCGCTGCTGGCATTCCAAGCAGGGACAGTCCCTCAGCCAACCTCAGCCCACATCAATCATGGAAGTAAAACAGTCAGAGCCTTAGACCCCTGGCTCTGGGGCGGAAGCTGGAGTGGGGACAAAAGGACCAGAGGCGAGCAGTGGTAGAAGCATGTAACTGTCCCTGAGAAAGCGTTTACTAGCTAATCCTGTCCCCAATCACTTCCTTAGTGCGTAAGTCCCTGATCCATCTGTATCATCAAGAAAACTGTTTTCTTCCTTTGAGCAAGGAGTGTGATTTCTGCTAAGTAGCACTGAATATCTGATGGTAGTTAACAGCACTTGATAGAAAGAGAAAGAGGTGGGGGGGGAGGAGGAATTAAGGGAAACCTAGTTTCACAGGCTTACGATTTGTGAAAGGTTGGGGCCTCCTTATGGCCCAAGGTAACAGAAGTCAAATATCACCCAAATAGTCTGAAGTCTGACCCCAAGAAGCGTGTACGACAAGGCTGGCCACGCCCCTTCCCAATAAGCAGGCACCAAACCTCATTTCTCCCTGGAGACTGGGCTGGTTACCCTGGCTGCTGACCACATGTCTCCCACTGTAGTCTTAAGGACAACCTCTCCGCCTCTGCCCACACACACACATACCAGTTTAATCACCAGGGACCAGAAGCGGAGGAGGAGGGGGAAACACTTCGTCTCCAGAGCCTACATGGCAACCCTTTCTTGGCAGAGACCAGTGCCTCCTGCTAGCCAAACCAAAGTCTGAGCCTGGCAGCATCTCACTCGAGACAGAGTTCCCTGGCCACAGGCTCATGGATCTAGTGCAAGGAGTCACCTCTTCCATTAGCTGCACCCTTATCATAAGGCCACAGTGATAAAAGTATGAGTGGCCAGGGAAGGGGCTCCAGGCAGGAGCCCAGCCACACTGGGAGTGGGGAAGGGGGTCGAGGAGGCACTTGGGGAAGGACAGATGGGGTGCTGAGCGGTCAAAACCCAGGAAAAGAGGGGTGGATGAGGCTGATGGGGTGGGTTTACTATCGCAAATTCCACCCCAGCTGCCATCTCCCCAGTGGTTTCTCAGCCTCTTTGCATTTCCCAGATCAGAAGAATCATGCCAAGAAACAAACAAACGGTTGGGAGTCAGGCAAAGTAGAAACAGCAGAAGAATTTTATCCTCCCTTCTGGACACAAAGCTCAGTCTACAGGAGCACTTTGATGGGGGGGTAGTCGGGGCCATCCGTTTTCCTCTCCAAATGGGGACTGGACTACTCAGTAAAATGGATGTAAGGAAACTTCCCAAGCCTTTCAAGTGTCAGGAGTTCAGTGTCCTTTCAGGGCGGACTGCCTCTCCGGGCAACACAAACAAGAACATTGCTGCTCCATAATCCTAGGTAAATGAAAACAGGAGTTCTTTGATTTATTTAAAAACCTAATTAGAAGAAATGACAAGCATACTTGGCAAGTTCTGCTCCTCTGGGGAGCCTGGGATTCAGTCTGTAAAGTGGTGTTAGGAAAAATGAA